GCTGTCTGCATGGCCGCCTCCCTGCAGATGGCGCCCGGACCCACCCTGTCCCCACCCCGTCCCCAGCCTGTCCCGGACGCGCGTCCCGCGGACCAGCAGCTGCCACGTGCCAACTCTGCTCTAGTGCGCCTGCGCGGGACATCTTGGCTGCGCACGCTCAGAACAAGCTCACGTGAGATTTCTCGCGCGACTGCTGGCCGGCTAGCTAACAGCCCATTACGCCCAGGGTGCAGGTCTCGAGCCCGGCACGCGTGGAGCCTGGGCTCAGTCCACAGCCTAGCAGAAATAGATGCCTACATGCGTACATACGTGAACGAAAACATGCGCACATGCACACCTCCATACATGAACACCACGAACAGGAGTGAACAGCCAGCTGATGCTTCCACGAGGATAGTGTGAGTTCTCTTTCCTCCAACGCTCCTTGATTTCTTTTCCTTTTCTTGTTTTTTTTTTCCCTCTTTTTTGTTGTTTTGAGACAGGGTCTCACTGTGCAGCCCAGGCCGGCCTTTGACTCCCTATGTAGCCCAGCATCCACCGCGACCCTCCCCAGGCCTGGGCAGGAGACCCGAGGGGAGCGGGCAGGGTGGCATCAGAGCTGGTGACCCACCTGTGCCGCACAGGTCCACTATGGCCACGCGCGTGGGCCGGGAGCTTCCTTTGGAGTTGGCCGCGGACACCGCTGCAGCCCAGGTCCCGGTGCTGGGGATGAGCCAGGTCCAGGAGGTGCCCTGGGTGATGTTCTGTAGCGTGGCTGTGCCCGCCACCTCCTGCAGGGCCACCTGATAGCGCAGGATCTTCCCTCTCGCCTCCGCCACGTCCAGGCTCTGCAAGGAGACGAGCTCTCCAGGGTGCTGTGCCCGGCCCTCTGCCCCGGCAGTGGTGACGCTGAGGGATACTTCGTTTCTATCACCACACCTTTGCCGTGAACTCACTATGTAGCCCAGGCTGGCTTGGAACTTGTGGCAATCTTTCTGCCTCAGCCTCCCAAGTGCTGGGATCATAGGTGTGTGCCTCCATGCCCGGCTAAAAGACAAGTTTCTGAAACACATTCGTTCCCCTCTCTTACTCCAAGATGTCTCTTGCTGGCAGTCACAGCACGGGACCTGAACTGGGAACTGGACCCGAGCAGCAGTGCTGCCAGTTACGGGGAGCCAGGACTTGGCCCCAGCCTGCTGGGCTGAGGTTCCTAAGTCTGAGGACCACATAGCGCTGCTCAGGAGCACGCACGACCTTCAGAGCTGCGCTAGCAACTTTGCACTTGGTGAATCCAATCAGCCACCTGTGCCCGGAGCCTGGGCAGCAGCTCGGAACTGTGTGGCTGTCAGGGTTTGGAACAGCAGAGGTTCCAGCGGAGATCACCGGGAAGCAATCCCAGGAAGTGGGGAGAAAAGGAATGATTTGTTGTCAGCTTGCTGGGCAGGGTGATGCACGCCAGTAATCCCAGCACTCAGGAGGCTGAGGCAGGAGGATCGCCATGAGTTTGTGGCCAGCCTGGGCTACACAGTGAGTTCAAGGCCAACCTGAACTACAGAATGAGACCTTGTCTCAAAACACCAAAACCAAAACCAAAACACGTAGGTAGAATAAAAGCCCGTGGGTCTTTCTCCCATTCAGAGCTCACCAGTCAGGGCCTGAGGCTGGGCCCCTGAGCATCTGACATTCATGTTCTCACACCCAGAGACTGAGTCGGCCTCCTGACTGAAGTCTGGCTTCTGAGACAGCTGGCGCACGGAGAGCACGGCCCACTGCACTGAGCCAGCCCGGCCGGCCCGGAAGCTGCAGTCTCGCTGTGACTTAGCCATGCGCACCCGGCTCTTCATATTTCCCTGTGAGCTTGGTGGGTGCCAGTCACCCCTAGGGACAGTTTTGGGTCCATGAGACCACGCCTGGATCTGAGGCCATGGTCTCATGCCCAGGGAGCTCACGCACAGGGAAGCTTTATTTTTGTTTTTGTTTGAGACAGGGTCTCACTATGCAGCCCAGGCTAGCCTTGAATTCATAGTGATCTTCCTGCCTCGGCCTCCTGCATGCTGGGATCACAACCCTGCACCACCGTGCGTGGCCTAGGGAAGCTTTTTTGCGGGGAGTGTGTGAGCTCTCGCCTGGCTCAGGCACGCCCTCTGGCGGCTGCGAGGGGAAGTGCGTGGTCCAGAGGCCTTGTGTCCCCCAACGCCTGGGACCTCAGGGTGCCCGGGGTCAGCGCCCCCAGTCAGGGCGGGGTACCGAGTTGGGAGAGCCGTCCCCGGAGCCCCTCTTTCTGCTAGCTCAGCCTGCATCAACTCAGGCAGGGAATCGGAGCACACTTGTCCCAGCTTTGCTTCCTTTTGATTTGGGGTTGGAACGCTGCTGAACTCAGTTCATTTTGCTTTTCAAAAATATTTTAAAATTTGTCTGCTAGGAGTGGTGGCCCCCGCCTGTCATCCCATTACTCTGGAGGCTGAAGCAGGAGGATCCCCATGAGTGGAGGCCAGGCTGGGCTACACAGTCAGACCCTGTCTCAAAACACAAAGAATTCTTTTCATTTTTCAGCCTTGCTAGGGGCGGAGCCCAGCACCTCGAGGCCTGGTTCTTGCAGTAGCGGAGCCGGCGGCACCTCCTCCTTGTAAACGAGGATAATTCCACGTCCTCCCTGGGCGGAGGGAGGAGGCGTCGCAGAGACCGCGCCGGCCCGCAGAACTGCTGACGGATTCAGCAACCCCAGTCCAAAGGGAAGACGGGCCTTGAAGTGGTTTGCTTTCAGACAGGGAATCACTCTTTCCTAAGTGGGCCTTGACTCGAGCTCCTGGGCTCCAGTAATCCTCCTGCCTCAGCCTCCCAAGTGCTGACTGTGCGGTGCAAGAACATTTTCAGTCACAGCTCCTCCCTAAGGGGCCGCTTCCCATAGTGCAAGTGCTGTGCCCGCGTCTCCCGGCCGATGTCCTTGCCTTGGGAACCCACACCCACGTGCTCACACCCACGTGCTCACACCCACACCCACGCTCACACCCACAGCTCACGGTCACACTCATATCCACATGCTCACACCCACACCCTCCCACAGCTCACATCACACTCATACCCACATGCTCACAACCACAGCTCACACTCACAACTCGCATTCATGCTTACACACTCACCCACACCTACATGCTCACAGCTCATGCTCACACCTACAGCTCACACCCACAGCTCACTCCCACCCCTACTCACACCCACAGCTCACACTCATGCTGAAACACACACACGCTCACATCCACAGCTCACACACACTCGCACACTGCCCACATGCGCACATCCTGACACTCTCAGACCTCCACACACACACCACACCCCGCTTGTCCTCTGGGGCCAACGCCCCACACAAGTGACAGCTCCCTCCTGTCCCCTGACGCAGACAGGCCTCTCTGCTCTGCTGGCCGGCTTTGCCTGGGGCTTCCGGGGGTCTCCTGGGCTCCTCTGTGCAGCGCTCAGGAAGTCAGGGGTGAGCCCCGCACGCCAGGCAAGGGCTCTGCCGCGGGGCTTCTCTCAGCCTTGCCCAGTTTATTTTGAAACAGGGCTGCCTAAGCTGGCCTCCCACTTGAGATCCTCCTGTCTCAGCCTCCCAAGTAGCCTGAGTAGTAGGCTTGTACCTGTCTTTCAATGACTTCAGAAAGTACATCCCGAATTTCCCCACCTGCGGTTTGGCCAGAGTGAACAAATTGGGTTGCATGGTCACTGCCGGGACCCTCGTGAAGGGGGGCGGGTCGGGGACAGAGTGGGGGGACACGGTGCAGCGGGGTGGAGGGGACACACGGCCGAGGGAGGGGGGCACACGGCGGAGGTGGGCCACAGCGGCCTCACTCACCTTCCAGAACAGGGAGACCCGCCGGCCGCCGCCCTCACGCCGGCTCCAGAACCACACGTCCAGCGTCCCCGTGGGCTCTGGCGCAGGGAGAAAGCAAGGCCGCTGCAGCCCGGGAGACCCTCGCGTCCCCGGCCGCCTGGGGGAGCCGGGCTGCAGCCGGCCGGCCGGGCCGCTCTGCACACACCAGCACCTCCTTTTCCTGTTATTTAACAATGAACGTGGATGCCTTTGGCCAAAAAGTCAGAGAAAGCGAGGTGACCTTGAGAAAAATTTTTAAAAAATCCGTGAGGAGGAAATTCATCTGCTCACATCCCATAACATATTCACACGCATTTCACGTGTGCCTGGGTATCTGACTTTAAACAACTCAAAGCATGTATCTTTCTAGTTTTTGCTTTTTTTTGTTTTTTTTTGAGACAGAGTCTTGCTGGGAAGCCCAGGCTGGCGTTGAACTCGTGGCAGCGATCCTCTGCCTCAGCCTCCCGGCACTGGGAGGACAGGCATGTGCTACCATGCCAGCTGACACAGCTCTAGTGCAGCGGTTCCTGCCGGCTCCGCAACCTCGGATGAATGTCGTGGCGCGGCCCCAGGAACCCACGGGGACCCGGCTGGAAGGAAGGAAGCACTCAGCTGCCGCTGCTGCCTCTCCACTGAGTGAGGAGCCGTCCCGACCCAGCACTCGGGAAGCCCAGGGTCCCCGCTGCGTCCCCACCCACAGGCCGGCCGAGCCGCTCCCAGCCTTCCCAGGGCTGCAGCCTCCACTCACCTGACCCCCTTCTCTGCACCGGCCCTCGCATCTCCCCTCCGCTCCCTCTTCCCTCCCCCGAGGCCTGGGAGCTGAGCACAAGGCTTCTCACCGAGCTCTTCCCCGCACCTTTCAGAAGAAAATTGTTCTTAAAAATTTGAGCACAATCTTGCTAAAGTGCTCAAGGGGGACTCAAACTTGTGATCCTCCTGCCTCAGCCTCCCAGAGAGCTTAAGTGAGGAGAAGATGATGGCTCAGGAGGGGTGGACAGCTAGGCGGAGGTGCGGGGAGCGGCCGGGGCTCTGGAGCGTCCAGGGCGGGGCTGTCCCCCGTCCCGAGTAGGATGTGGATGAGGTCACCCCAGAAAGGAGATCCCAGCATCCAGCCCTGGGGCATGGCTGAGGGTGGCACCCGAGACCCCAGGGCTCAGGATGGCTCGGGGGGCACAGTCCCTCTCCCTGCGGCCCTGCCAGGCAGCGGCAACATGAAGCCAGCGCTTCGTCACTGTGGGCTGCGACAACAGACACACTGTAGCCTGGTGGCTTGAGCACCAGCTTCTGCCCCTCCCGCTCTGAGGCTGTGACATCCAAGATCCAGATGACGTCATGCCCAAAACTCTAACATCGAGTTCTCACCCGGACTGGTGGTGCGTACCTGTAATTCCAGCACTCAGGAGGCTGAGGCAGGAGGATCACCAGCCTGTGCTATAGAGTGAGTTCAAGGCCAGTCTGGACTACCTAGTGAGACCCTCTCTCAAAAACTCAAAAACAAAACAACAACAGCGTACAAGAAAAACCAAAAGAATATTCTCCTCCTGGGTTGGCTGGTGCATCTTGTAATCCTGACACTGGGAGGCTGAGGCAAGAGGAACTCAAATTCTAGTCCAGGCTGGGCAACATAGAGACCTAGTGAGACCCTGCCTCAAAACTAGAAATTAAAAATAAAAAGGCCAGGTATGCAGCCGGGCTGTCTTCACAGCCAGGCAGCTATGGGGGTGCCTGGGGGACGTCTTCCCCCTCAGGCAGGGGTGTCTCCCTGAGAGGGTCACAGCCTGGGGGCCGCACATGGGGTGGGCCTCCCCACCACTGGGGTGACCGCGGGGCCACTGGAGCCGCACTGCCCCCTGCTTGGCCGCCGCAGCGCAGAGCAAATCTGGTCCCCTGGAGAGCAGCTGCTAGCGACCTCTGCCACCACCGCCCTTGGACGGGTTAAAAGAGGCCGCGTGATAAAGAAACTTCACACCTGCAGCGCCGCAGGAGGGGTTTCAGGAAGAAAGGATGAGGAGCCGGGTGGGGGTGGAAACCACAAGGCCTCGGGGAGGGCAGAGAAAGGGAGAGGAAGCCAGGGGGAGCACCCTGACTCTGCCTCCTCCTGGGGCCGCAGCGGCCGTCCTGCCTGCAGGGGTTTAATCCAGATACACAGAAGACGGCAGGAGGTGTGAGTGAGAACAGAAATGCGAGGCTTTGAACCAGGCGCAGTAACAGGAGGAGAAGGACCAGCCCGTATTGTAGCTTTCTTTTTTTGGTTTTTTTTTGGTACTGGGAATCGAACTCAGGACCTTGTGCTTGCCAGGCAGGTCTTGTGCCACTGAGCTATATCCCTGGCTGGATTGTAAAATTAATAACCAGTGAGCAAGCGGGTCAAGATAGACATACAAGATTTTATCAGAAGGTGAGAGGTCATTAGTTGTCACTTGCTGGATGAGTTTTTTGGGGAGGTTGAGACAGGGTCTGGCCTGGGACTCACTATGTAGCCCAGGCTGGCCTTGAACTTGCGGTGATCCTCCTGCCTCAGCTTTCCGAGTGTTCAGATGGAAGACCACCACACCTGGCTCAAAAACCACCTGCAAGTGGGTGTGCTCACACTTTGGACCCAGCATGGCTCTGTGGAGTTCTCTGCCCCGGAGGTCCTCACCCCCTCCAACCCTGTCCTGCCTCCACCCCCAGACACACACCTTCTTCCGGTGTGCACACTCTCAGGGGCTCGCTCCAGCCGCTCCAGCTTCCCCCGGAAAGACGCAGCTTGGAGGACACCTGGAATTCGTACTCCGTGAAGGGCTCCAGGCGCAGCAGGTCGTGTCTGCCTTTGGCATCAGTCACGTTGACCTATGGTGGGATGAGTTGTTCTTTTAAACCGGGAAGCAACCTCTGCGCATCCAGGGATGCCTGGATATGGTGCATCACGGTCCAGCCGGGCAGAGAACTCTACGGTCCCGGGCAGTACTGTTGCCGCCAACTGGGGTCACCTTCACAGCGGCGGGGCTGCCTGCGCCACCGCCACTGCCACTCCAAAGGCCGCGGCAGATCACCCTGAGCAGCGGCTGCCCGGGTGCGGGGACGCGGCCACCCCCACCCCACCCTGTCCCTCACGGTGTCCAGGGACAGACCCCGCCCCAGGTCGCTTCTTCCTGAGCTGATCTTACAGAGGAACAGAGCGGCACAGCGAACAGATGAGCCTTGTACGGAGCCCGCGAGTGCTAAGTTAACAGAAAGAATTTCAGCCTGAGAGATCCGACGACCACTTGTATTTGCAGCTCTGTCACTCCGGGAGAAGAAATATCCAGGGCCGGGTACTGAGGGTCTGTGATGTTAATCTAAAACAGCAGGTTCCCACTCAAACAAAAACTGAACTCTCTTCCCACAGAGAGCCCGGGGAGTCGTTCAAGCAGCGGAGCAAGGGGGAGGGTTGGAAACTATTAATGTCCAAAAGGAGAAGTTTCTCTGCCGGAGATTCTTTTCATCTTAAGAATTAGTTTTGATTTGGATGCAAATCGCATGTGATGAACGTTTTAACACAGACATAGCACTGGCTTCAAAAGAAAATTTTAGCCAGGTGTATGGGCGCAAACCTGTGATCCCAGCACTAGGGAGGCTGAGGCAGGAGAACTGCCGTGAGTTCAAGACCAGCCTGGGGTACATAGCAAGACCCTGTCTCAAGAAACCAGAAAAATCAGAAAATTTTTATTAGTTCTATATCTCTGAGGCATCATCTGTATGGTTTATCACTATAAGCCATTGTACTTTATAAAAATTTTGGAAAGAATCATCATCCTATATTTTTATTGTAAAAATATAACACGCAATATCATAGCAAATTGGAAGGTTTTCTTAGGGATATTTAGCTTCACATAATTCCTGTGGACATTCCCTAATATTTCTCTTTCTGATGTGTTTTTTTAAAATGTTTTTTAAAATAATAATGAGACACAGGATAGAACCAGGCAAAATAAATTCTTTTGTTGTTGCTGTTTTGACACAGGGTCTCGCTATATAACCCAGACTGGCCTCAAATCACAGTGATCCTCCTGCCTCAGCCTCCCGAGTGCTGGGATGACAGGCGTGTGTTACCGTGTCCAGCCTGGGCCCAATATTCTTAAACTCCCTAGCCTTTGTATGTGACAGGGAGACGTCGAGTCAGCGCTGGGGGTTCCAGCGTTCCCTTCCCTCGAGGGCCCTTACCGTCCTCCAGGCCCCACCGTCCCGGGGCCGGAACCGGAGCCGGTTGAGCAGCACCCAGGCCTCGTCTCTCCACTGGAGGCTGCAGCGGCTGCCGGAGCCATTCAGGAACTGGACTCGGACGTCCCACGGGGGAAGCGGCTTCACTAGTAACCGGGGCAGAGTGACAGGTGCGTCAGGCTGTGCCGTCGGGAACCGCTGCACACAGCAGCAGCAGCTGTGTTGTACAAGACGCTGGCCTCACCTCGTCCTCACCCACCCTCGACTCTACCAACCACTGCTGAGTCCGTTCCCGTTCGCCGCTGACCACGGAGCCGGACGTGGCCAGGGCCGGTGCTGGCGCGGGAAATGCCCAGCAAGCCTCCAGGGGCAGGGGACAGCGGGACCGGGGCGGGAGTGATGCCGGGCGCAGTTGGGCAGGTGAGATGCAGGACCCACAGCTGCGGAGGGGACCGAGGAGAGACCTGGGGTGACGGGAGCCCCAACGCCCTGAGGGGCAGAGTCGGGGGTGCCCTGTGTTCCTGGGGCCCCAATATCACGTCAAAGATATGGCCATGAACCCCTCTCCAAATCTTCCCTTTTACACCTGTGCCACCCTCCCGACCACGTCCTGCAGCAGCTCTGGCGTCCTCTCTCCTGAGGGTCTTTAGCTGCGCTGTCCCGGCTGCCTCGAGCTCCTGAATCCATTCAAAACCTTTCCCTCTCCTGCTCATCCTGACTTTGGGGAGGAGCCGGAAGTTACGCTGTGCCAGAGCCGGTGACTGCGGTGGACGAGGGCACAGCGTCGCGTTTTATGAGCTGCCTTTCTGCTGGACGGCGCTCGGGCAGCGCCGTCACTGAATTTTTTGATCACACTACATAAAGACCCTTTGGAAAGAGCACTCCAGAGCTGCTGCAGGACGTGGCCGGGACGATGGGACGAGTGTGCTGGAAGCAGGGGGGGATTCTGAGGGGGCTCATGGCAGTGTGGCTTTTACAGCAATATATTTTTTTAAATTTAAACATTCTCTGTATATTATGTTCACGCCTCAGATCAGCTCAGGTGTGCCAGGAGGATGTGGAGGTGATGAGTGTGCTCAGAGCAAGGTGCTTCTGGACGTGTTCATTGATAGCCTGTCACTGGCCGCCGCAGCCCGGCAGGCCCGCACGTAGCCGCCACCTGGGAGCCGAGGGAAAAGCCGTGGGGGTAAAAGGACACCTGGAGCAAACGGCCTCACGAGCTCCCGAACGACCCGCAGGCCCTGGTGGTGGGAGGCATCTCTGGCAGCGGGTGTGTGGGGTGTGGAGCCCGCACGCTCCTCCAGCGAGAGACTGAAGGTGCACACCCGCCGCAGAGCGTCCTGCTGGCCCTGGCTCGAGCCGCTCCCTGGCAGCAGCGCAGTGACTTACACGTCTCCGGTCCACACCCATCACCCCTCCCGGCAGCGCCTGCCCCTCTCAGAGCAGCTGAGCGATTTAGAGTACTTCTCCCGTGCCGATGAGCCACACCCGGGGGACTGAACTAAAGCCTACCTATGTCCAGGAAGGCGAACGTGCGCGGGAGCGAGGATGAGCTCCCCAGGCGGTTGGTGGCGGTGACCCTGGCTGTGAACCTTGACTCGAGCTGCTCCGCGGGGAGGTTGATTCCAAGGTCCAAGTGACGACAGTCATTACCGCAGTGCTTCTGCCAAGTTACATTTTTCGGCCCCTCTAGCCTGTCAACAAGAGACAGTCGAGTTTAGCAAGGTCCTTCCTGTCCTGCGCTCTCTTTGTGCCTTCTCCCGAGTCCGCTTCCATGTGCAGGATGTCGCCAAGCGTCGCCCAGGGCCTGCGGAGCAGCTGCAGGATCTCCACCCGTCACTCACTGCAGCGTGTAGTTGTGGCTCAGGGGGGTGACGTTGCCGGGGTCCCAGGAGCAGGCCACGGCCCCGTGCCGCCCCTCCTGCACGCAGGACACGTTCCGAGGCGGCTCTGGCGCGGCTGCGGAAAGAATGGGTGGTTCAGTCGCAGTGCTGTTATGTGTCAGCACACCGACAGCACCGCACCTCCGACCCCAGGTACAGCCAGACCCTGTTCAATTCGGATTTTCCACCCAGACTCGAATTTATGGTTTGTGCGCCGTGCTGAGCATCTCAGGCGCAGTTCTTTGTAAGCAGACGCCATCTTCACCCTTACTGCACTACATGGAGTGCATGTGAGAGAGGTGGGCTCTGCGGCCCAAGACCACAGATTTCGAGGAGGCGGAATCGGCTGGGGATATAGCGCAGTGGCACAGGCGCCTCTTCGTAATAGGCAGAACAACAGTGCTCGTACAGCTTTACTTCACAGAATAATAAACTCTCCCTTTCTTAAAATAGTAGACTTTTCCTTACATCTATGTACAAGTACGCATAACATGCAGTGTATTCATAAGCATGGGAGGAGTTGTGCACACATGTATAAACATGCATGCACACACCATATATAAACATGTATACACATGTAAATATATTTGGACATGCACACTATCATATGTACAGTGTCTACACATGTATACACATACTACTTATGACTGACTCACATAGAATTCTATGTTGTTTTCTGCTCAGTAAGACTTTGTGATTAATCATTCTTGCCTTTATTTTGCTTCCAAATTATTAATATAACTCAAAACGCCCAAGCCAGTTATCTGCGTCACTGTTCAACGCGTTCAAATGCCCAGGCGTGTGTCTGGTCCCTCTCCGCAGCTCGAGGCCTTCCCTCCCCAGGAGGCTGCCCCTTGCCCGGCACTCAGGGCTCATTCTTGAGCACCTTCCTCAGCAGCTGACACTCTTTCTCCTTTCTCCCAAGTCGGAGCTTTTCTGTTCTTGATGGTTTGTGCCCCGGGTCAACACACCGCCTTTACTTGGGATGGAAACAGCCACTCTGTGAGCCCAGCCTGCATCCGCACCCAAGCCCCTGCTAGGACCCCCGATGAGGGACAGGACAGAAAGCAGCCCCTGGGCAGGGTAGAACAGGCCGAGGCCCACGCTCGCCCCCAGAGAGACCGGGGCTTCCTCACACCAGGTCAGCTTTCTCGGTGGGAGCTCAGGGGACTTGAAATCCAAGTGTCCCCTAGCTCAGCTTTGCCAGAGACATCTGTCCCAGGGGACACTAGCATGGAGTTTCCAGAGCACTGACCATGAAAATAGCGTAGGACAGGAGACACGGTTAGCGGTGGTGTCGCTGCTGCTGTCTTTAAAACCCTCCTCATCACGGAAACAAAGTCTTAGAAAGAAAGCATCAGAAATCGCAGCACCAAAGCTCACGCTGCCCTGAAAACAGGCCAGCACGCACCCTCTGTCTGTCATTTACTGCCCTGATTTCCTAACGCGCTTGGGGATTCGTCTCCCAGGTTAAGCTCTCGCATGGTTGTTCAGATTGTGTAATTTCTGCACAATCTGGATGAGAGCCCTCGGCAGCCCGAGAAGGAGCCAGAAGGGAAGGCATAAAGCTGCCTACGCCAGGCCTCTGAACACGTGCAGTGCGCAGCGTGGAGCACCGTGCAGCTCCCTCCCTCCCTCCGCACGCTGGCTGGGCGCACGGGGTGAAACCAAAATTCACTGTGTTTTCTTGGAATGACTCGCCGTGCTCAGAATCAGGTGCTGCTTCCAGTCAGTCCTCCCTCTCACGGCTGCTAAACTGGCTCTCGGAGCAGTTATGTGAGTGCGCGGGTCCTGCCCGAGCCTCCACAGGCGCTGACCACTGAGGCAGAAAGTGCTGACTGCCCTGGGCTCCTGGGATGGCATCGCGGGGCCGTAAATCTAACACAAGAGGGGACTGCTGGCCTGGTGAGATGTGAGTCAGCGGGGGACGGGCCGGAGTTCTGCCGGCAGGGATGGCAGGGCCACCCGTGTTTTCACGACAAACTCAACCCTGTCCCTGACCTCGCTACCCTTGTGCTGCCCTGGACAGAAGTGAGGCCTGGTGCTCTGCACACCAGTGCCTGTCCTGGGGTGGCACTGGGTCAGGCACTTTGCATATAAGGGCTTGCATCAGCTCTCCAGGGCAGGACTTGGCATCTTCCCTACACAGACAAAAACTGAGGCACACAGGACTTCAGTGTCTGAGTTTCCATGGCCAAGGTCTCAGTATGAAGTTCAGGCTGCCCTTGAACCCCTGACAATTGATCCTCCTGCCTCAGCCTCCCAAGTGCTGGGATTACAGGCCTGCACCCACGTCCCTAAGTGACTGTTGCACAAATCCATCTTCTTGTTACTAAAGTTCAAAGGCACAGGGTAAAGGTTCTTAATGGCCAGAGAGGGACGGCAAAGAAGAGGAGAAGGAGCAGGAGGGGAGAAACTCTTACAAATACGACCCCAGTTCTATGGATATCCAGATTTCCCGCATTTGGATGGTCCCACGCTATCAAGATAGAATACTTCCGGTGGCAGGAGAGGAACGATTTCTGGGTGTGGGTGTGGATTTCCGCCCCCGGGTGTTAGGGGCGCGGGAAGCGAGCTCACCGCCCACGGAGACCTCCACGCCGCACACAGGGACGGGGGAGCCTCTGGCACAGGCCAGCTTGCAGACAAAGAGGGTTGTGCCCAGGGGCAGGTCCGAGACGCGGGCGCTGAGGGCTGGGCCACGCTGGGAGGCGACTTGTGTGGGCTGGGCCAGGCCCAGGATGGACCTGTAGAGGGTCAGCTGGCTGGAGCTGGGCTGGCAGCCCCGGGCAGGCCTCAGGGAGCAGGAGACGTGGACTGCCGAGCCGAGAGCCACAACGCGGGCCGGGCTCACGGTGACGTCGCCGCGCTTGCACACCTCTGCGGGGAGAAAGGAGACAGGCTCGGTGGGAGGGGCTGCCCACTCCCCAGGGAGGGGCTCCTGATCCCTGCGGCGGGGCCAGAAAACTGCGTGGGACCCCAGAGATAGAAGCAGGACTCGGGCCACTGCACTGTTGTCCCCTGTCCTGGATCACAGCACTCCTCCATCTCCATCCGGCAGCGCCATCCCCAAGCTGCGGACAGGAGCGCGGTGAGGGGGTGGAGGAAGGAAGCCAGGAACAGCCGGCCCCTCACACGTCCCTGAGCCGGCCTCGCAGAAGAAATCACATCCGGGCCGCACCCTGCGTGACTGGAAGGGCGGTGTCACACTCGGACCACGAAGGCAAGGCCCCAGGGGTGCTCAGGGATGATTCCTTCTCTTGCTGTGTCACCGGGACCTACAGCACTATTTTACAGCAAGGGAAACCTACAAAGGCTGGCGTGCCTGGCGTGGTGGCACATGCCTGGAATCCCAGCACTCAGGAGGCTGAGGCAGGAAGATTGCCATGAGTTCGAGGCCAGCTTGGTCAACAGAGTAGCAAGACCTTGTCTCTAAATAAATAAATAAATAAATAAATAAATAAAAGGCTGGTGTGTTTGTAGCTGACACTGAGGGCTGTGATAGATCTCAGTGTCGAATTTTGGTATTTCTATGACACCCAAGTCCCTGGGACGGAGGAGCCGGCACCTGACGTTGCTGACAGACATGCGTGCTCTCTGCAGCATTTCCTGTTGTTTGCCACATGAAGCCTTTATTTAAAAGGCAGAGGCCTGGCTCCCCTCCGGATCTTTTGATAAAAACATGGCGGCTAAGCTACATCAACCTTTCTGGGTGATCTCAGGAGGCTTCGGGGAAAGAGCCTCAGAAGTAAGCGCCCCTGAATTTCAGGCGGGACGGGGGCAGCCTCTGTGGAGCCTTGCGCTGGGATGTGGGAAGACTGCTGGGGTCGAAGGCTCTGGAGAGGAACTGGCAAAGAAATTATTTAAATCAAGCCGAAGAAGAACTGAAAAAATTTCTAACGCAATTTCTCATTTTTATTTTCAAAGCTAAAATGGGACCTCGCTCTCTCTCTGTGTCTTTGTCTCTGTCTCTGTCTCTCTCTCTCATCATATGTGTGTGTTTGGTCCTGCCATCCTTTGTGTTTTTTTATTCTAATAGCTCAAAAAGCCAAAAATAAGGCCTCAATGAGAAAGCAAAGAAAGCGTCAGGCGTGAGCTGTTAGCAGAGCCGAACTCCCCGTGAGTCGCTCTGGCCGGCTCTGTGAGGCAAACACTATTCCTGACGTGGCCGGGTCGCCCCACCGCTCTCTTAAGAGGAAGTGCTGGGGTCGCCCGCTGCATTCACTGTTAGAATACATGAAATGAGACACAGACTCAGCACAGACGTCGGGCCAGACTCGCTCACTTCAGTGACGACAGGCGGACCACGAGAGAAGCCCCGCGCGGCCGTTACCCAAAGGCGCGGCTCGTCCAGCGCTCGGAGTGTAAACCACAGGCCGCTCACAGACCGCCCACAGGAATAGCTTACCGATCTGAGCCTTGATCAGCAGCCACAAGGTTATAAAAACAGGCGCCAGCGAGCAGCCTCTTGCAGCCTGTGCCATGAACAGAGGGCCCGGGCCCCGGCTCCGAGCTGACCCTTGGGAGAGAAGACAAACGCACGGGTGTCAGATGCTGCACAGAGCAGGCCAGCGCCCACGGGGCGTAGCGCCACGTAAAGGGCCACTTGGGGCTTCTCCGCAGTGAGACTGGTTTCCTTCGGTGAATATGCTTTCAAGGCTATGTAATCAGCTGACAACGGAAGCCAGCGTTCACCGTAGAGAAGGTGCTCAGGTCGGAGGAGGATGGAGAAGGGACCTGGCCCGTCCGGCCTATCCGGGTGGCTGCGCCATGTCCCGGAGACCTCGGGCTCCGAGTCCCCGGGAGTTCACGCCCCGCGGCGCTGGGGGCCAAGGTGCGAGGCGGGCACGCGATGCTGCCGTCCCCGCGGGAAGGGACCCTGCTGTGAGGGCGCCGCCTGCCTGTGGGTGCTGCCCCCAGAGCTGATCACCCGACCGCGCCATCTTCCAGCGCTACCCCTCGAGCGTGAGGGCCTCCACGTGAATTGGGGGACGTAAGGTTGTGACCCTGTGGTGCCCTTTGGAGCTGGGCTGTGACGCCCCTCAGGAACGCCCATCCCCACGAGCCCTCCGGGGGCTGCTGAGTCAAAGTCCTTGTCAAGCCGGCCCTGCCACAGGCCTCCAGCTCCCCGGCTGCGGCCTCCCATCCTCCGCTGCCCGCCCCACGCTGCCCTCTCCCGGGGACGCCGCGCTCCCTGCGCCTGCTGGCCGCTCCCTGCCGACCTCTGTCCGGTGTGAGGCCTCACGGGCGCCGCCTGGCCTCCTGGGCCTCGCCTGGCCGCGGGGCCTCCTGCCCCCTCACGTGGCCGTGCATACGCTCTCCGCGGTGACCTGTAGCTTCTCCCCGCCCTCCCTCCCTTCTTTCTGTCTGCAGTGCAGGCCATTGAACCCCCAGCCTTCACACTGAGCTGCTTCCCTCGGCTTTTCCTTTCGTGCAGTTCTGAACCAGGCCCTCGTTAAGGTGCTCAGCTGCCCAGGCTGGACGGAAACGTGTGATCCTCCTGCCTCAGTCCCCCAGTGGGGTCACAGACATCTGCTCCTCGTGTCTTTCCTTTTGTTTGGTGTATGGAGGGGGGGACTCAACACACCGGGCTTTCCTTAAATTTCCACAGGCGTCCGCCCTCAGCTCGGGAGCACAGGACAGACGAGAGGAGGGACAGGGCCGCCCTGCTGTCTGCCAGCGCTCAGCCTCGGGGAGGGATCCGCACTGTCCCGGCCACCGAGGACGCAGGAGGGAGGAGGAGGAGGAGGAGGAGCGCCAGAGCCCGGAGAGCCGCAGGCCGACGGCCCCAGTCCTCCCTGGCCGGGGACCGGCTCGTGAGGAGCCAGAGGGCGGAGGGCACGCGGCTCCGGAGCTGCCCGCCTGGGCAGCCAGCACAGCTGCACTCTCCTTTCAGCCCTGACTCTCTCGTCCCCACACCGTCCGTAAAAGATCCAGCTCCTTGTTTCTCGTTATCTACATATTTGTTTGTACTCTGGATGTCTCACCTAAGGAAACCAGGCAGCATCTGAGCTCGTGCGTCTGCTTTATTCCACTTGACATCATGGTCTCGGGGTGCACCCATTGTCCCACAGCTGACTCAGGCCTATCCCTCTTTACGGCAGCGTAGTACTCCACGGTGTGTAAACACCACATTTCTTTATCCACTCATGTGTTGATGGACTCATGGGCCACTTCCAAGACTGAGCTCTTGTGAGCTGTGCTGCTGTAAACACAGTGTACGTGGGTCCCATAACACGGTGACGTTAACTCTTTTGGGAAGATGCCTGGAAAGGAAATAGCTGGGCCGAATGGAATTTCCAGGTTGGATCAAGTGGATCTTGGATGTCTTAACTCTTGCGACTGCCCGCTGTCTAACCCAGGCGGCCAGGCTGCGGCACACAGACCTCTGGGGCCTGACTCCTGCCCTCGACACCAGCTCCACGGTGGGTCCTGCTGACTCTGTGACAGTGCTGGCGATGGCGCCCTGGGCCCGCCTGGGCCCTCGGAGCAGGTGTCACGCACCCGCCAAGCCCAGCACAGATGCTGGCTCCACGCCTTTGCCCCATAGGTGCAGATCGGAGCAGGACGGCAGGACGCTGGCTCCCGCGGGATGGCAGCCCAGGGACAGACTCTGGCGAACATGGTGACGAGTGAGTTCAGAAAGTGACAGATGGGGGTGTGGGAGGGGGCAGCGAGCAGGAGAAGCTGGCCAGAGGCAGAGAGGTGGACCGAACTCGGCAGCTCACGCCTGTGTCCCAGCACTCAGGAGGCTGAGGCAGGAGGATGGCTGTGAATTAGAGGCCACCCTGGGCTACATAGCGAGCCTCTGTCTCAAAAAAGAAAAGCTGCTGAGCCCCAGGTGGGGGGCCGGTGCGCCCGCCCCGCGCCTGCAGCTCAGCCTGGAGCCTCCCCAGGGTCCCTGCCCCCGGCGCCTCCCACAGGACGGACTCGGCAGGCTCTGTCTCCTGCAGCCTGCGGCTCTTCAGGGACCGGGCTTCGAGTCCGGCCACACAGCGCCGCCTGCGCGCACCTCGGGGCTCGGGTGCGGCTCCTTGGCCTCGAGTGAGCTTCCCGGAGCTGCGTCCCGGCGCCAGCTTGAGCTCAAGCTGTAGCTCACCACACGTGGCCGGCGCCCTGAGAAGCTCTGGGGTCATCGGCCACGTGTGCGACAGACACCTGAAGAACAGCTGTGCTGGATCCCGGGTCTGCGTGCTGTTTCTCTTCCTCCTCTTTGTGTAAGTGTCTTAGAGACAGCACCTTCCTCGAGGGGCAGGGCTGGAACCCAGGGCCTCCAGACGGAGCAACACGGCCACCCCATCTTACTTTGAGACGGGGGTCTTGCTAAGTTGTTCAATGGCTGAGTCGCCCAGGCTGAGCTTGAACTTGAAGTCCTCCTGTCTCAGCCTCCCAGAGCGCTAGTATTGCCAGTGTGCACCCCGCAGTGGCAGAACAGTAGCAGCTTTAAACGCAAGAAGCTGCAGCCCAGGGAGTTCACAGACCGCGCTGCGACAGCTCGCGCTGGTGAAGGCATCCGCGTCACCTGGCCCCAGTCGCGGTTCTGTCCAACCCAGGACGCACGTCCGGCACTCACTGGGTCTCCGGTGCTATAGACGGCTTTGGCGTCCCAGAAAACTTATTAAATAAACGTGCAAAGTTCTAGCCTGTTCTCAGCGTGGCAGCCAGACTCTCAAGCCTCAGGGGAGGGACTCCTCCGCCCCCCCGAAGGACGGTGGCCGCCTCCTTCAAACCCAGAGGAAATCCCGATGGAGCTGGAAGCTCGCCGCACGGAAGCACAGGAAGAAGGGAAACAGGTTTCTGCTTCCTCAACGCGAAGACCTGCAGCGGAGCTCGCCCAGGCGCCTTCAGTGACGGACTGTCCCCGAAGGGCGAAAGCGCTTCAGGGCCACGTACCGAGTTACAGGGGAGGCAGGGCGTGAAGCAGGCACCCTATGTCTGCGTGTGTCCTACAGGTGAGGCCGGCACATACGTTCAATGTCACCTGTCCCGCACCGTGCTTAGTTTAGCCCCGTGAAGTGGGTGAAGTAGGGTAAGGCTCTGACTTTACAACACAAGCTTCCTGACTTTCTCTGAATGCTGGCTGGAAACAGCGCCTGCATTTATGAGAAGCTCGGCAGCCCAAGACCTTCAAGTAAACGAGGTCCTTTCCAATAAAATGAAACCCGCTGTCGACTGTAAACACCCTCCCCCCGCCCGTCGGTGCGGCCCCTGTCAACATGACGATTCTACCCTGAATCACAAAATCAAAGCGCATGCTGTGTCATTACTCATCGCAGGAGCTGTGAAGGTTTCCAGCGACAGCCAGGCTGGGAGGAGGGGCCGGCAGAAAGACTCGGGCAGGAGGCGGGGGCCGCAGTCACCCTCCGTCCCTCTTCCTTTTCTGCAGGGAGAAGAGCCGGCCCCAGCTTGCTTCCTAGCTATCACTTCTCGGGGCAGGACCACCTGCACTTTCACAACACTTTTCTTTGGTGGCGCTGCCATATGTTTGGGAGGGTCTTGCTCTGTAGTTCAGGCTGGCCTTGAACTCATGGCAGTCCTCCTGCCTCAGCCTCCCAAGTGCCGAGATGACAGGTGTGTGCTGCCAAGCCTGGCTGCTAGCACCGTGCTAAATTCAGAGAAATATGTGGTGTTGAGCAAAAGAACCAGGGCAGTGAGTCTCGGTTCTACCGCACGCTCCCCACAGCAAGAGCGCAGCTTCCCTGTCCTGACCGCCCTTCTAGGCCCCTAAAACAAAGCTGTCCACAAGGACACGGCAGGGTCACAAATGCGCCCTGCAGCCCCCTCAGGGTAACTCCCTTTCCCCCAGCTCTTGCGTGTATTTCGTTTCTAAATCCTGTGACTTCATACAGCTATTTGATCTTTGGCAAAGGATCCCCCAGCACACACCGAGGGCAGGCAGCCTCTCTAGTAAGCGTGCGCTGGCCGTCCAGGAGCAGGAGTGTGAGGCTGGGCCACATCTGTCACCGTGCACTGAACTCAAATCAAAATGGATGGAAGAGCCAGATGTTCAGGCAGAAGCACGTCATCCGCTGGCAGACACAACAGGTAGAACTCCCGAAGTCACGGGCTAGGCAAGGAGCTTCGACAGAGCCCCAGGGGCCCGGGAAATAGCCCAAGAACCAGCACACGGGACCACATCAAGCTGAAAAGCGTCTGCACAGCAAAAGAAACAGCCACAGGGTGAAAAGAAAACCTACAGAATGGGAGAAGTATTCTGGCAGCTCTTCCTCAGATAGAGGACTAATATCTAAAACACAGAAGGAACTAAATGAGTTAGAACCCCAAAATAAAAGACCCAAGCAAAACTTGGGCGGCCGTGTGAACAGACGCTTCTCAGAAGTACAGAGGGCGAAGAAATACACGAAGAAACATTCAGCATCGCCGGCCACCAGACAAATGCGAGTT